GGGGGGGGGGGGGGGGCACCTTGCCCCAGAGGTGAGTAAGCCACGGCCTGGCAAGGCCGCATGGTGACCCCGGACCATCCGGGGCTGTCCGGAGTCCAAGTGATGCGGCGCCTCGGCCGGTCACTTTCATTCTTCCCATCCCCCTGAATGGGCGTGGGCGTGGCCTCGGCCGTGAGCGTGGCTGTGGTGATGTCCGCCGTGGCTCGTACCTCCGCCGCCCCTCGCTGCGCGCTTCGGTCCATCCCCGGCTTCCGGCCCGCTGCCGGGCCCCCTGTTGCCAAGCCCGACCCGCATCGGAAGTTTATATGGGTGTTGTGCGATCCTTCCCCGGGGGAAGCCCAGGGGCGTGGGTCCGGGCATGAGTGTAAGTGTGCGTAAGTGCGTGTGTGTGCGTGTGTGTGTGGTGGTGGGGGGGGGGGGGGGGGGGGCCCGCCCGGGCCCCCCCCCGGCCGGGTTGGTGGCCCCCACCGCCGGCGGCTTTGGGCCCCCGGCCGGTGGGGAAAGGCGGGGGGGGCGGGGGGGCGGGGGCTGCTTGCCCCGGCGGAGGCTGGCTAGACAGGATCTGCCGGGCCTCCGGAGCGTCGTCCCTCCCCCTCCGGGAAAGAAAGGCGCCGGAAGAGGAATCCTCCCTCGAGGAGGGAGACAGGTGTGTCACCCAGGCAAACTGCCCTGGGGGCCGCCCCCCGCGCCGTGCGGGGTGGCTGCCCTGACGGAGGTTCACCCGCGGGGCACACCGGGCTCGTGAGGAAAGGGGGTTGATGGGAACCATCGACCCATCTCGCTCGACCTTCCTCTTTCTCTCCTGCTGTCGGGCTATGCCTCTCCCGGCTGCTCGCCGCCCTGGGCGCCCCCCCCCCCCTCCCCCTCCCCCTCCCCCTGCCGAGCCTTTAGAGTGCAACACAGTTGGTTCTTCGGCCTGGGGACCGCCAGCCGGTCCCAGCAGAAGGTGGACCCCAGGCAGGCCGTCTTCCTGGGGCCTCTTGCCGGCTGGGGTTTCAGATGAGAGGATGGCCCGAGGCTGAACTTGGCGGGAGCCCCCGGGGGCCGGGTCCTCCTCTGACCGTGTCCCTGTCCCCCCCCCCCCCCCCCCCCGCCTGAGGGGAAAGGGCCGAAACTGGCGAAGCGGGCTGTCTGTGAGGCGCCAGGATGGCCTCGCACAGTTGGAGGGGGCTTGTCTCCCGGGCCGGCCCTCCGCCTCAGGGGCCGGTGGAGGCGCCGTCATATCCTTCCTCCCCCTTCGCCGGCCGGCACACCGGCCCGCCCCCGAACGGGGGACGGCCGACTGACTCACACCACAGGGGCTGAGAGCCTCGCCCGGAGGGGCGGGG